TCCACCTTAACACCTCCTCTGCCCTATCTGCTACTTCTACACCTAAGTCGTCAAGATCCCCATTTACTGCTCTTAGCTCTGGCCTTAGCAAGTTTTTGATGTTTTTCTATATACATTAGGATTTTTTGGATTTGGAATTGAAATTGTTTGATTTTGATGGAGGGTTAATTTTCTCATTGCAATTAATTATATAGTGACACAACTTTCCAAATATCCTGGATCTGCCACTGCACACACACCCACACACTCCAAATTAATAATCAGAATAGATATGCATTCATCTCTCTTTTATTTAATTTACAAACAATCTTTTATGTTTATTTGTAACATTGCAATCAATTAGTTCTTTTGAAAAAGATTTTTTTTGAAGATTCTACAACTCACTCATATTATGCGTGAAGCCTAACATAATGTTGTGTGAGTGTTCCATTTGCCAAAAGTACTCTTCTGTATCCGTCAACTTCTTAGTATTTGCGTGAGCTTTGCCTCGGAATCATACAAGAAAATCCATTTTCCACTGAGGTTTATGATATTCACGATGAATCGCAACTTGCTTGCCTAGCAAATAAACGAAACAATGCTGAATGCAATTTCCATGTTTCTGCAGATGGAAGCCATGCGTGATGTATCAGCAACTGAAACTGCAATAATTTATGGTCTGGAGCCAGTATGGGGTGCTGCATTTGCATGGTTTCTCCTTGGTGAAAGGTGGGGCTCCACAGAATGGCTTGGAGCCGCTCTTGTATTATGTAAGTTGGATCAGCTTACTGCTAATCTTTCACTTAATGATATGAGTGTTTTTTGCTATCCTCAAACGGAGTAGTTGGGCTCTTATAAGTTTTTGGAAGGGATATCTAGTATCCAATTCTAAATAGCTTGGCCTTGATTATATTCTTTGTCATTTTCGATAATTTAATGCGATTGCAAATTTGCTAGTCATGAAATATTCCTTGAACATTGATCAGATTTCATCTTGGTTCCAAATGATTACTTATGTAATATTTCTCTAGATTTTACTGTAGTTCAATTATTGTATGGACTGTTTGATTGAGCAATTGAGATTACAGGTGGCAGTTTAACCATCCAGCTTCTTGGATCAACCCCTGAGAAGTCATCTAACAAAAAAGGAGACCGCAGCAGCAACCACAGAAACTCAATCTCCTCCAATGATCAAAAGGATTTCTCCCTACTGACTGTTGTTGTCAAGACCAAAAAGAATGATGATGAACTCTTCAGAAAGTACATTACTTGTCGCAATCTATTCTATTATTTCAGTAAGCATTATGACCTAGTTCTGAAAATCTCTTGCATATAAACTACAGGCGGGACAAGTTATAACACATGATGAGACGAGGTTTGGATGGCAATAGATAGTAGAGCTATGACATCTATGAATACTGAGGCTCAAATTGGTGAAAGCTGCGAGTGAATATGGTAGTAGTTTCACTTGGCATTCTATGCCCATGATTTTTCCATAGAAGCTCGCGAGTATTCTTGGAGAAGTGAAGTTGCTTAGTAACGTGATGAAGATGTACTATCCTTACTAAAGCAGGCCCTTTAGCAAGTATAGGTTGGTATATATAGCTATTTATGTATATACATACAATACACATACATATACACATACGAGAAAATTGTTGATCTGCATCCAGAAGATAGCAGAGGAACCGTACCCTCTTATTAATGATGTAACAAAATAGATGGTTAATTTGTCGCGCTATCAACCCTGCACGTATGAAAATGGAAGGAGGCCTGTTATCATGTGAATATAATATAAGCTAGAAAGCGTGTAAATATATACAAACTGAATGTATTAAAGGGAATGTAACCTAAAGTGATGTAATTGCCAAATGATTTTTAACTGCTGCTTCATTATTAATTGTGAGACAGTCCGTGCTAGTAAATGCTTTCGCTCTTTATTAAGGAAGTTATCTGTCACTCTTATCTGATGAATTAAGAGTGCTAATTGCACTTAAATATAGGATGTGCTCTTCTTATCTTTTTATCTCCCCCTTTGCTACAGCTTACGAAAAATTGACATAGGCAGACGGAGTGATGCATGTGTGTTTTACAAGATAAGATGACAAAGAGTGTGAAATGCCAAAAAAATAAAAAAAATAAAAATAAAATGAAGAAAACACACCTGGAGAAGCGAGGGAGCTCGCACCTGAAGAAGCGAGGGAGCTCGCCTGCGGGTGTGGGCGTGGAAGAGCTCGCCTGCGTTGAGAGGCGAGGCGAAGGAGCTCGTCTGCGGGCTTTGCGTGGAGAGCTCGCGTTCGGAGCTCGCCTAAGACCCCCGAGCTCGCCTAATGGAGGCGAGGACGAGCTCGCCTGATGGTTTCGTGGTGGAAGACAGCTGGATCGCATAACTGATCTAGGGTTTCTCTATAAAAGGGAAACCCTGTTCACGAGATGAGAGAGCTTCATTTCGTGATTTTTACAGAGGGGAGAAACCCAGTAACAAGGGTTTTTTTTGAGAAGTGGATTTTTTAAGAGATGAGAGAGCTTCATTTCACGAGATGAGAGAGTTTCAAGGGTTTTTTTGAGAAGTGAATTTTTCGGTCAAAAAAAATTTGCACAAGTTCTTGTAGCTATTTGCTACAGTAACAAGTTTTGTTGTGAGAGATCTCAAGTTTGAGATCTTCTCTTTTGCAAGCTTTGTAATTTCTTGTAGTTAAATAAGAAATTATTTGTGCGGCTCCCGTGGACATAAGCAAGTTTGTCGAATCACGTAAATCTGTTGTCTCGTCTCATTTACTTATTATTTTATTTGTGTATTCGTTATTGCTTGAGTTGGTTGTTCTCTCTCTAGGTGATTTAGCTTCCGCAGCGGTTAAGTGTGCGTTTCTCGCTCCCAACAATTGGTATCAGAGCCCTTTATTCAGATTGGTGGTGGTAGAACTTTTGATTTGAGGTGATGCTTGGTTATTGTGTGGTGCACACAAAGTATTTGTTGATATTTTCTGAGAGAGGCTGTTTACTGAAATAAGCTGAGGACGGCTTCTACCAGTAAAACAGTTAAACTTGGAAAGTACGAGATAGAAAAGTTCAATGAGAAGAATGATTTTTACTATTGGAGGATGCAGATGAAAAATTCACTGATTTCGCAAAAATTGCACAAGGCTTTGGCAGGAAGAGAAAAGAAGCACAATGATATGTCAGATGAGGATTGGGAAGAGTTAGATCTCGAAGGACGAACGTCGATTATCCTATGCATTGAGAGGGATGTTGCTTTCTTGGTGAATGGAGAGGAAACGGTTGCGGACGTGTGGTCAAAGTTAGAGAGTACCTTCACGACAAAGAGTCTAACAAATCGGATCTATTTGAATTCCAAATTGTATACTTGCAAAATGGAGGAAGACTCATCAATCCGGGAATACATCAACAAGTTCGATAGGATCATATCGGATTTGAAGGACATTGATGTGAAAGTAGAAGATGAAGATCAAACACTTCTGCTACTTCTTTCTTTACCAAAGTCTTATAAAAACCTGGTACAAGCATTGATGCTCGTGTGTGACAATTTGAAGATGGATGGGACTAGAACATCGCTTCTAGCAGATGATCTTCGAAAAATTACAACTAGTGATATGACCACTAGTGGTAACAAGGAGCATGCACATTGATTGTTTGTTAGAGGAAGGAGCAATGAGCGAGGAAAAGGCAATGAAGGAAAGTCTATATCGGAATCAAGACCTCTTGTGAGAAGACCATGTTTTAAATGCGGCGAGCTTGAGCATTTCAAGGTCGATTGTCCTAACAAGAGAGTATGTGGGAAAAAGAACAACAATAAAACCGAGAGGAGAGAAGGCAAAGAGGAGGTGGGTTACGTCTCAAAGGAAGGGAGCGATAAAGAATGCTACATTGTTACGGGTGGCGAAGATATCTCCAGTAAGTAGATTCTTGATTTGGGTTGCTCTTACTATATGTGCCCAAATAGTAAGTGATTTACTACCTATAAAGGCATTGACAGTGAAACCGTATTGATGAGGAATAACCATGCTTGTAAAACGGTGGGGCTTGGTGATATAAAAATCAAAATGCATGATGAAGTGGTCAGAACCCTAACACGCATGAGGCATGTTCCCGACTTGTAGAAGAATCTTATCTCAGTTGGTGCTTTGGACTCCGATTGTTGCAAGATAATAACAGAGAATGGAGTAAAGAAGGTTGTTCGGAGTTCATTAGTAGTGATGAAGCGTATTCGTCACGGTAATCTATATACTCTCTCGGGATAGGAGATACAATGTTGGAACTGATGAAAGCGGTGGAGACCTATGTGAGCACACTCGGTTATGGCATAGGCAGCTTGGGCACATATCAGAGAAGGGTCTAGATTTGCTTGGTAAGGAAGGTTTGCTGAAGAACATGAAGAAACATTGCATGGATTTTTGTGATGATTGTGTGTACGGAAAGGCGTACAGGGTTTAGTTTCTGAGAAGCAAGCATAAGAGCAGAGGAATATTAGACTATATGCATACAGATGTTTGGGGTCCAGCTCAGACAACTTTTAAGGGTGGTTCCAGGTATTTTGTCTCGTTCATAAACGATTATTCTAGGTATGCTTGGATTTATTTTCTTAAGTATAAGAATAAGGTATTCGAGACATTTAAGAAGTGGAAAGCAATGGTTGAGAATAAGACATGCACTAAATTGAAGACACTAAGATCTGATAACAGTACATAATATACAGAGGGAGTTTTCAAGGAGTTCTGTGATCAGAAGGGTATTGCTCGACATTAGACAGTCAGGTCTACACCACAACATAATGGAGTCGTAGAAAGACTAAACCGTACATTACGGGAGAAAGCAATGAGTATGCGATCATATACTGGTTTGGACAAAGAATGATGGGCAAAAGCGGTTGCTACAACTTGTTACATAGTGAATCGTTCTCCACATTCGACATTGGATGGTGACGTACCCTATTGGGTATGGTCAGAGGAGCATGCAAATTACAATAATCTTAGGATTTTCGGATGTATCGCCTACTATCACGTCAATGAGAGAAAGTTTTATGCGAGGGGCAAGAAGACAATATTCTTGGGGATGCAAAGGGCGTAAAAGGCTATCGCCTTTGGTGTATAGAAGATTCCAAGTTCATGATTAGCAGAGATGTTGCGTTTAATGAGAAATCCATGATTGCCAGAGCATCCAAGAACTGTGGTGTTAAGGCTGTTGGGACTTCAAAGTTTTAGGTGATCGAATTAGAACCTAAAGACCAACGAGGTTCTAGTCATGTTCAAGAGGAGTATCATGAAGATGAATAGCTTGAACAGAAGGAGATTTAGCAAGAAAATGTACAGATATCACAACAACAATAGCTCGAAGATAGTTTGGCTTACACTAGGCCAAGGTGAGCATACAAGCAGGTTCAGAAGTTGGGGTCAGATCAGCCTCTGAAACACTATGAGCAGGTAAATTTGGTTGAGTACGCACTCTCGGTGGAGGATGATGAGTCGATCACCTTCAAAAAGCTATTCGGGATAGGGATAGTAAGAGTTGGTTGGCTGTGATGGAGGAAGAGATTGTTGTAGGCGTATAAAATTGCTTATAGGTCCCTTAGCATAGCTCGGCACAAACCGACGAACCAACGAGGCGACGAGGTTGACGAATCGCACGCAAGCAATGGAATACATCCATTCGCGTACGGAATCAAACCAACGGTTCGGGGAGTCAACGAGTCATCCAAACAAGAGCGGACTCGGATGAATCACGACCGAATCAAAGTCGGTTTCGGACTCGAACTCAAAGGTGGATTTACTGCCAAATCAGGAATCAGATTTACTGCTAAATTAGGTCAACAAATCAACCGCACAGCCGAATCACGGACAAAACGGGAACAACAACAAAACAACGGAACCCAAACACCCTGAGGGGCTCGGCCGAAACCGAGCCACCTCAGGGTGGCTCAGGAGTTTTGAAGACTTGAGGACTTGAACATTCAGATCTGGTTCTCGGCGAGCATCCACGTCACAAAAGGCAGGAGTTTGAGAGAGAGAGAGATCAGATCTGAGATCTACACGAGATAATACTCCGGATCAAAGCTTGGCCTTTGATCCCGAGAACTAAGGGCGATTATTTCCTTGGTGAATTAATCCCCCCCGGCTATTATTTTCTTCGTGAAATAATACCCGTTAAATCGTGTAGATCCGACCGGATCTAGATCGCGCGGTGGTCCACGGATTAACCCCGGCGTCGGCAAAGAACCCACACAAGCAAGAGACCGCAAAACAGAATCTTGCGATTCGTTCGACAAACAAGGAGAAAGTTGTAATTTTTATTTCTTTTTTTATTTGATTTTCGTTGTAACCGGATCTAAAAAAAGACCGGATCTTTGTAATCGATAAACTATTACAAGAATTTGCAATGGAATCAATAATGAAGAAAGCAACGATTTTCACCGCGAACAATCTGGCGACCACAGTGGGAGCCACCGATCTCGCTGCCGAGATCATCACGTCGCAGCCGCGGATCTCAATCCCGGTCGAGGAGGAGGTCGAGTATGAATTCGACCAGACCAAGTTCGAGGAGTATCTCTCATCCTCGTCCGGATCAACCTCCCCCCGCAAGTCCAAGAAGTTCTCCTCCAGGAGAAAAGCTCGTTGGTTTGAAGAAGTTCAGAACGCCAACAAAACTCTCACCCCAGCTGACGCCAAAGTCGCGTCAGGTGAAGTTCCACCGACCTCCAACGAGGTCAAACCTGTTCTTGTCAACGCTTCTACTGTTGAGGACATTGTGACTCTCTCGAAGAGAGCCCGCCAGAGGCGACGTCAACGCCTTGCGCGGCAATTCGCCAAAGCGATGGAGTCTACGGATGGGGTCCGCTACAACGCGGATCTGAAGAATAGGAGAGGCAAACAGCCTCAACAACTGAAGAATGGCGGTTCCTCCAAGCCGCCAACGAGCGAATGGATCCGGGTCAAACGGAACCGTTCGACACTCGAAGAGCGGATTCACAAACGCCGTGCATTGCTTGCACAAGCAAAAATCCTTGTGCAGAAGGCCGAGGAGTTGAAGAAAGAAAGAGTGGCCAAGAAGCCGCCATCAACCCGCCAAGTGTGGAGACCGAAACAGTCTCCAACCAAAACTCAATCTCCGGCAAATCAACCAAAGTCGCCGGTAATCCCAATAGCTTTTCCGGGAGATCATGCAGAATCATCCCGAAAGAAGAAGCCAGTCTTGGAGCGTCTCGGTCCACTTCCCGATGAGCGGGTCAAAGCTCCAGTTCAAGAGCGTTTGGGCCCGATGAAGAAGCCCAGAACGACTCAACACGCTGGGGTCGCCATCACCTCCAACGTGACAAAGAAATCAGGGCAGCTACGCGCGCTACCTTGCGTATTGAAGTCTAGGAGCCCGTTGAGAATTCACGCCCAGAAAGGCGCGTTTCGAGGCGCGTGACTCTCGAAAGTCCGAAGAAGGTAATTCGCACTCAGAAGGAAACGTTATCGTCTGATGATGATTACGTTATACCTGAGAAATCATGCCAACACACGATAGGTTGCTCCGACTTTCAAACGGACGAGCTATACTATCGTGCTGGGGGTACGAGCAAAGCCAGAAAGACAAGTCCCCGAGGACCGGAAACTCAGTGCCCTTGTTCAAAGCTCATTCGGGCGGTACTGGCTGAGTGCAACTGCATCAAAGCAGTCCCCGAAAGAGTTTCAGTTTTCGAAAGGCTCAGTATCGAAACGCCGAAACCAAGGCCTAGGCGTTTCCGACGAAGAAGAAGGATAGTCGAAGACGGAGAATTTCCAAGGGTCACCACCAACATGACCTGCAAAAGGGCATCGACACGGGATAATCCCGAGTCAATTCCGCCAATACCCCGATATCTAACTCGTCTGCAGTCTAGAGCTATCATATGAGGAACTTATGGTAGGATTCGGACAAGATCATCGTCAGAAGATGAAGAATCGGATTCCTGCTCTGCTGTCGCATCAGATAACACGGTATCCAGCGAGGGACAGCCCCGCGAGTCATTCATGATAAGCGCGGAATAAGTGGCCAAAATGCTAGAAGACGCCTTGGCTAAGTAACAGGAGAGCTTTAGGTTCGAAATGCGGATGGCCATGCAGAACATGAGAGAGATGCATGACCAACAGATCCAAGCACTGACGAACCAGCAAGGCGAACCGAGTCGTCGTAACCAAGTTCATCAGGAAGATGAGGATACAAATGAAGCTCATAATGCCAATAATCCTCCCGTCAACGCAAGGGGTGGTAATGAGGATGCTAGTCACAACACCACGCTTCCACCTCAGAATCGTGCTGACGAAAACTCGGGTGAAAGTCTAAAAATCAAAAATCTCGAGAGCAAAATCAACACATTGATCTCCGCTCAAGAGACGAAGAAAACGGGCATCCCTTGTCCATACCCACGAGAATGGGAATCAATCCCCTATCCGACGAAGTTCAGTCTGATTAACTTTACGCCGTTTGATGGGAAGGGTTCACCCACTCAGCATGTGATTTATTTCAAATCACACCTGGGGGTAATTTCTGGCAATGAGCCTCTGATGGTGCGGTCATTTGTCGGCACTCTTCGCGAAGCCGCCTTCGATTGGTATCGCCGCCTCAAGCCAGGTAGCGTGAACAGCTGGGACGACATGGAGACTAAGTTCCTCGCTAACTTCTTCGACGACGACACCGAAATATCCATCGGAACGTTGCTCGACGAGAAACAAAAGGAAGGGGAGTTGGTCGACACCTTCGTCAAGAGGTTCCTGAACAAGGCGATGAACTGTCGGGACCCGATCACTGAGGAGTTCATTCTCCAGACTTGCCACAAGGCCGAGAGGAACCGACCGACGGTTAATCCGCTGAACTCAAACTTCGCCTCTCGTGGTAAGGGCAAGGCAACTGCAGCTGCTGATGGTGCTAATCAAACGCCACAACGACAATCCCGAAGGCAGCAAAAGACTTCGGGTCCGAGATTCCAAAAAGAGTACTCTTTCAAGGACGAAGACGTTCCAGCCATCTTCGAATCCCTCCTTGAAAGTAACAAGATCAAGCTACCACCTATCACAAGTCAGGAGGAAGTTGACAACACGATGGATCCAAAGTACTGTGCATACCACAGGAGGGTCCTTCATCCCACCAATGATTGCTTCACTCTCAAGAATAGCATTCAGACATTGGTTGAAGCCGGCGTCATAACGCTAAGGTAAGCCAGTTGAGAACGGCACCACTCCGACAAGTATACGAGTATAAACTGCTTCTTAATAGGTATATGAGTCTAAACTGTTTCCCACTTTTGACGGGAAGTTCCTGGAGAATATTACGCTAGTATTCTTAAGGATAACCCAGTAAGGTAACTGAGAATAATGT